TTTTTATATCAGTAATTATGTGATTTAAATGTAGAATTATAGATATTCTTAATTATAAATTTAAGATTTAATTCTTAATTTAAAATTTAATTCTTAATCTTTAAATACCAAAAAAAGGAAAATTTTGGAACCCTCAGTTCCACCCAGGAGTAAGTGCTTTTTGTTCAAAAATGCTTCAAAATGGAATACCCACTAAAGCTTCAAAATGGAATACCCACTAAAGTTAGTACAGTCAAAAGAGGCATTTTTTTTGTCTGCAAATGATGATGTTACCTGTTGCTGATGTGGTTTGGGCCCCAACTGGAGGAGTACTTTTTGTCGCTTTGTGATTTTGCTTGGAAAGTGTGGATGACATTCTACAGATGGTGGGGACTAGAAATAATTCTGAGCAGTAGTTGTGTAAATGTGTTCAACCAAACACAGAGGTTAGGTTGTGTGGTTTGGTTTGGTTTGCTGTGATGTGGACTTTATGGTTGGGAAGGGATGAGATGATTTTCCAGGAACAAGGAGACTCAAGAAGACAGATTGTTCGAATTGATTCAAAATCCGATCTTTTCCACTGGGTAAGAAGCTAGATGGGAAAGGAGGACATCTTGTCAATGGAATGGAGCAACAATCCGGTACCGTGTTTGAAATCAAAGAAATTGGTTGGGGTAATATAAACGGGGTTTGATTAGAATTTTGTGGGGTACCAAAATAGCTTTAGTTTATCAATAATGTATTGTATATACAGGTAGAGATACCTTTTGTACTTCAATTATTAACAAGATTTTCTTCGCCTTACAAAGGGGGAAAAAAAAAAGGCGTAAGAATTATTTACCAAAACCAGCATCCAGAGGCAATGATTCGACCAAATCCTACCATGCATACCTGGTTAAAATTCGTATCAAACTCAAGAAGAAATAACAATTCATCACACGCAGATCAACCACTGCTATGGATGGTGCTTTTATACCTCTTTAAACATCCAAGGCTGCTCATGTCATTCATCAGGAGAGAACTCATATGATCCTTCTTTGATTATATCCACTAATGAGATCTTATTTTAATTAGTTCTAAAACTGTCATCATCGATTGTTTTCCTTTAAACTCTAAATTTTGATTCTAAATCAAGATTTTTTAATTAATAAATACAATTTAACTAAATTTTTATATCCGTCGTAAACAATGTATATCACTGTTTTCAAATCTAGCAGCTTGTTCTCCTATTTTTGGACACAGATTTTACAATTTAACCTAAGAGAATCACATCAACAGCGTCATCATAACAAACAAGAATTCAGTTTACCAAAAAAATTAAAAGGAAACAGGATACTTGGTGCTAAATATTTCCCAGCCCTACTAGCATTGCATGACACCCAACAGAAGGAACACGCCACGAGCATATAGACTGTATTTCTAACCAAATGAACTTTCAACAATAATAGCAGGAATATGCCTTGAGCACATAGACCATTCCTAACCAAATGAATCTTTCAACATTCGCAGAAGACATCAGTACTCTAGTTTTCTCATCTCAGTTTGATAGCCTTAATTAGGTGACAGGATGCTACCCTTGAATCTTCCCTAGGCGATATCTTCCTACCATATGTCATTGCAGTAGCATAATTTTTTTTTTTTTTTTTTGAACATCAAGAGATGCAATTCATTTATTTGTGGAGTACAGAGGGTTGCAGAAGCATAATTTGTTTGCAACTATACCTCGTATCAACACCTGAAAATCTATAAATTTGAAAGAATATAGCAGACTAGTCCACAATTATACATATTGGCTTGTCTTTAGAGAAGAATAACAATATATAGTTTTTTTTTGTTTTTAAACAATTAAGGTGTTTCTGAGTTTGTTTATATATATGTACTTTGATATTAATTATTCTTTGACGATATTAAGGATACACATCTAATATTAACTTGATGTATTCAAATAAATCAATTTCCTTAAAAATTCAATTCAAGGTTTAGATATTAAACACCTATAAAATGATACTTACATACAAATAGATACTTACAAGTTGGAAGGGAGGTTGGCTCTCATTTGGTGGAAGGCTCACACTGCTCAATTCTGTGATCTCGTCTCTCCCTGTGCTCCTTATGTCCATCTACCTCGCTCCAAAAAGTTATGGTAAAGGTAATAGATAAAATTAGAAGGGATTTCTTATGGGCTGATGTGAAGAGAAGAAAAAAGTTCATTGGGTATGCTGGAAGCAGGTATATAGATGGGGGACTGGGGATCAAAGACCTTAGATTGTTTAATTTATCGTTATTGGGTAAATGGTGGGGGAGATTAGCGTAGGACATGGAAGGATTGTGGTTTAAAATCATTAGAGAAAATTATGGAGGTGGGAGTGAAAATTAGACCAACTGGGTTAGAGATGGTAGGGGAAAGGTTCATGTTGTTGACAAGACTTACGTAGAATAGATGCGTTAGAATTGGGAAAGTGTGGTTCGGTTTTAGAAGGTTTTGAAATATCAGTAGGGGAGGGTAGTGGCGTTAACTTTTGGAGGGATAAGTGGATGGAGTTAGGGGAGTTAGCAAACAAATTTCCAAAGTTATGTTTAAACTCTGCAGGTAAAGACAATATGGTGAACCAGATGGCGAAATTTAGGACAATGGGGCATGGGAGTGGAATTTACAGTGGAGACGTGTGCTTTTTTCATGGGAACAAGATTCATTGCAGACACTTGAACACATATTAGAATAAATGATGTTGAGGCAAGGAGAAAAGGACTCTTAGTTGTGGAAGTTCAGTACCAATGGAAGGTACTCGCCATGCTCCAGCTACTCAAGATTGGTGGCTAATGGGAACTCCCTCACAGGAAGCTGTTTGAAAGAGTATGGAATCAACTAATCCCTCGTAAAGTCGGTGGATTTGTTTGGTAATTAATTTTGGACCGGTTGCCAACCAAGTCCAATTTGCTTAAAAGAGGGATAATTAAGGACCCAATTGCGGCCATGTGCACCCTTTGTGAGGAAAATGTTGAGGACAGCAACCATCTGTTTTTGCACTGTAAAATAGTTTCCCAGGTTTAGTCAAACTGCTATAAACGGTGGGATGTGTGCCCTACCGCAGCAAGCAATGTGCGGAAACTTTTAAGCAGCACGAGGGACTCATACTTTATGGGAAAATACAGATAGGCTGGAAACCTCTATGGTTTGCAGTGGTGTGGACTATTTGGAATGCTAGAAATGAAAAGCAATTTAACGGTGGCACAGTAGATGTTGACAAAATAGTTGATTCTGTGCAAGTAAAGACAAATCAGTGGGTAAAAAATAGAGGAAAAATAAGGTCTTTCTTTATGTCAGATTGGACCATTACTCCAAGGGCATGTGTTAGGAAATGAATTACTGTAGATAATTGGAATTTGGTTAAAAGTCTGTAATTAAATTGAGTGAACGATAATTATTTAATTTTGTATATAAATCCCAGTACTTTTTATATTCATTTAATAAAATTTTGTCCTTTAAAAAAAAACATACCAATAGAAACTACCTTAAATTATAACAATATGTAGTGTTAGTCCGGCTTTCATAATGTTTGTGGTTTTTTTTTTTTTTTTGGGGGGGGTGTATATTTGCGTTAGTAAATTTTTTAAGGGACTACTTAATCACGAAATCAATCACAAAAGCTTCTGATATAAAATAAGAATTATTAGTTACACATTGGAGCTTTCGACTGTAGTTTTCTTGTGAAAGGGATCTAAATCGATCTTTGCTCGCACTCAAGATCTCCTTAATCCTTCCAAATTTCAACTCCATCTCTTCCTGCCTATAATTAACTAGTTATTAGGTAATATTTTGTATGACATATGTAGACAATTGATTTTTTTTTTATCAAATAAAACTACTCATCAAGAGTTACATATTGAGAAGAAAATTTTAATTGGCATTTATATATTATATAAAAACATTACTTAACTTACATGAAGAGGTAGTTGAAACTTAATTATATA